AATGCTCCCGTAAATGCCATGCGAAGGGAGAGTGGGACTCAGGCCCTCCGCTCCTCGAGCACACAGTCTCCGTGTACAAACACTGGACCCAGATGCCCAGCACCAAGTTGGAAGACACATAAAGACTGTAGCCCCCAACGGAGTTCTCAACCTGTACTGGGGATGGGAGACTTACTGGAAGAAGAGCTCTTATTCCTTCACAAGCCAAAGAGGAGCAGAGATCAATCCTGGAAGAGAGGCCACCTGGCAGTCTTTGCCCTCAGGCATTTCTCTGCAATCTTGGCTTGCCTTTTTACATCAACTCTAGTAATCCTAATTCACAAAGCTGACTATCAGTGCTTTTCTTAGAACCATCCCATATCTTCCCTTGGACCCTGAACACTGGTCATTCAACAAGTCTGTTATTCAACATCTTGCAGCGCCTGATACCTGCCTCCCTTTTCAGCACTGGGGTCGTGGGGGTTAATGGTAATGGTGGTGGTGGTGCAGGGGTTGTAAATATTTATTTGCAGTTTCCTGATTGACCTCCTGGACCTTCCACATGTTGGCACACCGCCTCCCCACGAGGTCTGCCTTCAGGCCTGAATACAAACAATATCCTCCTGATTGCCATTTCTGACCCCATTCTTTGGGCATCCCCAACTCCCTGTGCTTAATCCCTATTCCACGTAGCTCCATTCATTTATCAAATCAAGTAATTACTGTCTGTGATGTGCCACACACTGCTCTGTCTAGATACACAGAAGTTCACAGAACAGCCTAAAGTCCCCATATCCGTGAAGAATTGCATTATGCTTTATTCTGTTTCTGCATCAGTCTCTTCCGCTAAATTTGGAGTTCCTGGAGGAATGAGACAAGATCTGACTCCTGTGACCCACACCCTGGCAATTGCTTAAACAAAACTTGAATTTTGAATTGAGTAAATTACAGCCTCCCATTTCCTTGGCTCACACCATGCCCCCATATCCTGATACAAGGAGTTGGAGGAGAGGTCACCAAACCCAGTAGCTGTCATCACCCCTCAAATCAAGACCCTGGGGTTCTGTAAATTTAGGGCTCATGAAGGGTAGGAGTCAGCCCCACCTTGTTCCTGCAGCTAGTAACTTGAACCACATGTCTCAGGTAACAGCAGCAGCTTCTGCATCAATAATTGAGAGCAAGTCCAGCCGGCCTCAGAGTTCTCTGGCCCTGAGGCCTCCCCCTCCTGTTCTAGGCTCTGATCTTCCCCAAGCAGAAGTCTCCAGCACAGGTAAGCAGGGCTCTTGAGTGTGGGTCCCCAAGCACACGAGTTCAAACTCACTATCACTCACCTACTCACATCCATTTATACACTCTTACCTTCAATTTTAGTCCCCACCACCACCAGGAGCTCACGAGGGTCAGATCTGGAGGAAGGGGTGGATGGATGGTTCAAGGTATGGGAGAGGAGAAGGCACTTACCCCCCCATTAGGGATAGGGCTTGGGAGAAGAGGCTCGAGTAGGGGGGAAGCATGTGCTGTGTGTGTACATGCTTTTACAAGGAATTCTGAGAGAGAACAGAAAAGGTGAATGCAGGGGAGGGGAGACAACTGGAGAAGAAATATAGAATCAAGGACTCCTCCCACCCACAGGGAAGAGCAGATGGAGGGGTGGGAAGAAATCTCATCAGGAGATGCAGGCGGTTGGGGGGGGGTGGGTAGGATATTTCCGAGGACTGTGGAAAGTGGTTCTGAAGGGGTGACGACAGAGATGAGGCGAAATGGGTGGGAGAAGTAAGGTGAAGACAGAATCAGGGGGCAGAGGTGGGAAGAGGTGGTTTGAGGTTGGGTGTAGAACGTAGACTAGCATGAATTCCTTGAAAGTACATGAGCTTGGAATTGGACCAATTCAGATTCAAATCCTGGTTCTGTTGTGTGACTCTGCACAAAAGACTTAGCCTTTCTGAGCCATGGTTTGTAAAATATAGGGATAATACAAATGACAAGCAATGGTGGGTGTGGGTTTCCCTGTCTGCCTTCCTTCACCCCAGAGCCCGGGTAGGGACTATGTCCCCCGCCATCGCACTGGCCTTCCTGCCACTGGTGGTGACATTGCTGGTGCGGTACCGTCACTACTTCCGACTGCTGGTGCGTATGGTCTTGCTGCGGAGCCTCCGAGACTGCCTGTCAGGGCTGCAGATTGAGGAACGGGCCTTCAGCTATGTGCTCACTCATGCCCTGCCTGGAGACCCCAGTCATATCCTCACCACCCTGGACCATTGGAGCAGCCACTGCGAGTACCTGGGCCACATGGGGCCTGTCAAAGGTCAGTGTTCCCTAGCATTCTGCTCCAGGAAATACCCCCAAGATGGTAAGGAAGGTCTGAGATCTGCCAGTGCCTACTGGGCGCATTGGGCAGGTTCTTCATCCTGAGTCTCTTTTTTCTCCTCTGCAAATGAGGGAGCTGGGCAAAGTTATTCATTCATATAGCAAACACTTACTGCCATCCCATTTGTACTAGGCATGTACTAGGTGCTAGGTTGGAAAAGGAGGTAGAGGCCACACAGATGAATCAGCCATAAATGCTAGCCTCAGAGGGGGCATAATACAAAGGGGATAACATCTCAGCACATAATCCATAACTTTGTAATTATCTGTGCTGATTCATTCTCCCCTCACTGTGGAGGCTCCCACATCCCATTCAGGATAGCTACCTGGCTTTGTCTCAGTCCCAGCTCCTGGCACAAGTGCTTTTAGAGTCTGAAGAAATTTTTCCAATTCCCAGGTTAGAAAGATACCCAGTGAACAAAACAAAGAGGAATGAAACTGGAAGTTCTAGCCAAGGTCTCTCAGGAGCCTGGTGCCTGTTTCTGCCTTAGCCTTCCTGGAGGAAGCAACACTTAAATGGAGCCTATAAGGATTGTTTTCAATTTGGCCAAGCAGATAAGGACAGGGGTAGGAAGGGGCAAAGCCAGTCACATATACTAATGCACCATGAAGGAATGAGCCAGTGATGACTTGGTTGACTCTGGGCACAGTTGTTTGGGAGGACTGTGGTACAGTCTACAGATGGGAAGAGCTGGAAAGGTTGGATAGGATCAGGTCCAAGAAGGTCCTGAATGTCAGGCTGAGGATCCCAAGTTCAATCCCAAAGGCCTTTAGGATCATAGGAACCAAGGAGCAACAGGGTCACATTTGTTTGTTGGAAAGATAGCTAGTGGCTGGTACGAAGATGAGACTGAAGGACGAAAGCCTGGAGGGTCAGAGGACGAGCGAGGCAGCGGGAGCTGTAGTCCAAGGAGGAGACCCCAGCTGGTTGAGGGCTACAGTGAGACAGGTGGACATTTGAGATCCCTTTCTATCAGGGGCCCTGAATCCATCTCCCATGTCTGCTGCAATAAGCCATCTTCCCCCCCAGGTCAGATCCTGATGCGGCTGGTGGAGGAGAAGGCTCCTGCTTGCGTGCTGGAGCTGGGCACCCACTGTGGGTACTCCACATTGCTTATTGCCCGTGCCCTGCCCCCTGGGGGCCGCCTTCTCACTGTGGAGTGGAACCCACGCACCGCAGCAGTGGCTGAAAAACTCATCCGCCTGGCTGGCTTCGACGAGCGCACGGTCAGCCCCTGCCTCCCTGACCCTAGTATCTTCCCTTCCACCCCCAGCCTTGCCCTAGCCAGGCCTCCCCAGTAAGGGAATCCCACCTAGGAGAAGGCAGCACAGTAGGAGACTGTGACCCTGGGTGATGTGTGAACTCCTGTCTGTTCCAAGTCACTTGCTCATATTTGCTGCTGGATGACAAAGGAGGAGTTAAAAGGAAGGTCTTTGGAGACCAGCAAATATGGGTCCAAACCTTAAGTCTACCTCTTGTGAGCTGTTATGACCTTGGGCAAAGGACTTATCCTCTGAATCTCAGCTTCCTCACTGGCAGAATGGAAATCACAATACTGATCCTGACTTCTTGGGTTCTGAGGACAGAGGAAATGACATAAAGTAAGCCAGATCCGGGTGAAGTCTGGTATGGGAGAACAGACCCTCCCACCCTCACCTTCAACTCCTCCCATCCCCACAGGTGGAGCTCATCGTGAGTAGCTCAGAGGAGGTGATCCCACACCTACAAACCCAGTACCAGCTGAGTCAGGTAGACTTGGTGCTCCTGGCACACCGGCCCCGACGTTACCTGCGAGACCTGCAGCTTTTGGAGGCCCATGCCCTGCTGCCAGCTGGTGCCACTGTACTGGCTGACCACGCGCTGTTCCCTGGTGCACCCCGCTTCCTGCAGTATGCCAAGAGCTGTGGCCGCTACCGCTGCCGCCTCCACCACACTGGCCTCCCAGACTTCCCTGCCATCAAGGACGGCATAGCCCAGCTCACCTATGTAGGGCCTGGCTGAGGTCCAGGCCCAGGGGCACTTACTGCTGCCTCTCCACCCCCACCGAAGCAAGGACCTCAGAACATCCATTCTTCTCCCTACTTGTGGCCTGACACATGCTGGACTCAGGGCTGGGGAGGCTGTCCTCCAGTCTCTACCCCACTCCAGTTCTACACTGACCTGAGACATCAAGTTCTATCAGGATGCTTGGTTCCATTGCCCCCCTCCTTCCAGAGAGCCATGGATTGACAGGCAAGAGACCTGGGCTCCCAACCCAACTCTATCACTGATTTTCTGGGTGACTCCAAGGGAGTCCCTGTGCTGCCTGAAGATTTAATCTCTCTTAACACCAAGGAAGCTAGCTGGAAAATCTGCAGGGGCCTCCTAGCTCTAGGCCTCAGAAGCCTTCCCTCCTCAGCCCATGCAATTCCAGTTAGGATCAGAGGAAACAGTAAACATTGAGTTAGAGGCTCTGAAGGAATGGGTACAAGCTGAGCCAGAGAAAATGGTAATGGAGCCTGGGCCCAGGGCCAGGGCCACCTCTAGCCCTGGACAACATGATCCAGTAGGCTTGCCTGAAATCCCTTGTATGCCCTCTCCCTGAAGCTCAAGAGAAGATGCTGGATTCCTCTGGTCCCGACCAACAATTAGGGAATAGACACGGGGAAAAAAATAAAATCATTCCTGTGTCTTTATTAAAGGGAGTTAGAAAGAGACTATACCTGGCAACCAAGGGGTGAGGTAATGGGCACAAAGGTGGGGTGGGCTCAGGCCCTGGAGACTCAAGGGCAAAGTGATGGCCTAGGAGGAGCCAAGGAGACCAGTTCTTGGCAGCAGCTGAAGAGATACCCAAGGGTGAGCTTTCAGGCACTGGGGCAATCAGCTGGTTCTGCAGGGGGTGCAGGGTAAGTTGGGCTGGCCTGGAATTTGCCTGAGGCCACCCTGCCTTGTCTACCTAGATCATCCACTGGTCCTGATCCTGTTCGTTGCCTTCCATGTCCACCTGGAGAGAAGGCTAGGTGTGGGTGGGGAGGGGCCTCAGCCACCCAGCCGGCCGTAGTCCCAGATCCTGCCCCTGGTTGGATCCAGAGTCTCTGAATCCTTGGCCACCAGTTAGGTCACAGGCAGGGGCCCACCCCCACACCCCTGCCTACCTCATTGACCTCTCCGTCATCAGGTGACTCATTGTAATCATTCATCTCATCCATGTCCTGCATGTCCTCATCATCCTCTGAGTCCTCTTCACTATCCTCGTCGTCATCTTCATCCTCCTCTTCCTCGTCATCATAGTGCTGGCGAGGCAGGGGAGAGCCTATAGGCTCTATAGGCTTGCCTGGACCACTTCAAGGGCTGGTCCACTTGGAGCCTTTCTCAGGGGCAGTGAGTGACCCTCCATTCCCCAGACTTGCCCCCCGCCTTGAGTCTAGCAGACTGGAGCATGTTTTGCAGGACCTTGGTGCTAGGTCCAATGGCCACCCACTCTAGATCCCCTTTATGGCCTCTGCCTAGAGCTGAGGGACCACAATTGCTCTGGAGTCAGAGGTAGGACTTCAGAATTAGAGCAAAGCTTTAGTCCACCTGAGCCCCACAAAGCCCTACCTATTGGAACCACTCACCTCCGAGGCCGGCTTGCCAATGGGTACCAGATTGTTGTCTTTCTCTGCGATGCTCTGGAGCTGTGGCCAAAGGGGGAGAGGAGGGTCAGGGCCCAAGCAGGGCATGTCAGGGGCATGGGACTGGCCCACTCTGCCCCTAAGAAGATACCCCTGCCCCCAAGTATGGAGAAGCTTCCTCTCAGTTTCTAGAAAGAGTCAATCCCTTTGTTTCTTATCATCTGCTACTTACTTATAAACTGGATCCAACTAAATTCTCTGGGCCATGGTTGCCCTATGAGATTACAGTGAGGGTAAAGTGAGAGACTGATAGAGAATATGGCATCTGCTACATCCTCAATACAGTCAAAATTACTATTTCCTATGAGTTAGAGAAAAGAGCCTGGGCTCCAACCTGGCCCAGAAATCCCATGGTCCCACCATAAATCAGTAGCATAAAGACTGGACCCTAGGCCTCCTACCTCCCAGTTTGATTGTTCCCAGCTCAGGGCAAAAAGCTCCTCCAGGATCATGGTCTGTGAAAGGCAGGGGAGGTCCCTGACTAAGGCTCCACCACTGTGCTAGGTCCTTACTCACCCAGGCCTGATGCTGTTGCTCTTGCTGCTGCAGCTCCGTCTCCTCCACACAGGGTCGATCCAGATTAAACCACAGTGTCTCAGTCACACGGGGGAAGAGTGAGGGAAACAAGGTGGACATGGCTCCTAGACTGAGGTAAAGGGCCAGGTGAATACAGATCAGAAGTATTTGATTTCAGTTATTTGGTTAGTCTGATTTGGGGATGGGGTGGAGTAGAAGGTAGGGGGAAATAGCTCTTCCTTGTGGGAATCAAACAGACCTGGATTTGAGTCCTGGCTCCACCACTTACTAGCTGTTTGACCTCGGCCAAGTCACTTAACCTCTCTGAACCTCAGTTTCCTCATCTGTAAAATGGGGGATAACAGTTATACCCACCCTCATAATTATTCTGATAATTTACTTTGTGGAGAAGTAAAGCTGTTTGCAAGGTATTCAAGGAGTGGAAAATGGAAGCCAACATGTAGAGCTATGAATCCAGAATGCAGACTGGCGTTACAAAATTAAACAAAATTAGAGGTAGTAGGGCTCCACTGACACTATCTTTACCTCCTCCAAACATGAAGACCTACTTTTTGCCCTTTTATGAGAATCCATTCCATTCTTACTCCACGTCAGAAATTTAGGGCACTAACCACCTCTCTCATGAACCACAACCAAACTGGGGTGGGGATGGGCTACCACGTGCAATATGGTTCAGAAAGGCATTCTAAAGGCATGAGTAAATGCGTAAATTAGTAAATGTTAGGCTGAATGAACTAACATGAGAGAATACGTAAATTCAGCACAGATTAAGTAGCTGAGGGAGCGGACCAGAAAGGTCCCAGAGAATCTGAATTAAAACCTTTCAGTTCACAGGAAAATCGAGGCCCTGGGACAAGCAACACTGTCTCTAGGTCACACAGTGAGGTGGGGCATAGAATTCCTACGGGGAAGAAATCGAGGCCAGGCACTAGAAGAGATGAGCAGGAGAAAAGGACCTACGTCTAGTTCTACTTTTGCCCTGATTCATTTGACTGATCCTGTGCCAGCCGCTGTCCTTTAGTAAACCTCAGCTTCCCCGCCCGTGTCACTGACACAACACCCATCCTCAACGGCCAGTAAGTACGAGGCGAGAGACCGAGGCTCCGAAAGCCTACCCCTCGCGGCAAAGCCACCGCCCATCCTTCGCTTATTATGAAAATGACGGCGGGGTGGCCCAACAAGAAGAATGCAGGGGCGGGATTCGAACAGGCATTTGCCCTTTATAGGGTTGCTAATCGCAAAAGCAGCGGGGCCTGAATAGGGCCAATTAACTGGAAGAACTGCTGGGTGACAGAAAGTGACACCAATGAGTGACGGATCTTGTGCGACGGGGTGGAGCTTAGCCTCGAGGAAGCGGCCAATGAGCTGGAGCTCTTTACTGTTAAGAGTGTGGGCACGGAACTCCTGAAGAGCCGGGTCAGGGCGACGGGGTTTCTCCGAGGGAGGAAGAAGAGAAGGGGCAGAGAGACAGCAGCCTCAGCCTGGCTTCCGTACTTACCGCGCCGGGAGGCGGCAGCCGGCAGCGACCCGGAAGCACTTCTCTCTGCCTGAGCGGAAGGGCCCACCAGAACCGGGGAAGCACCAACGCATGCGCCTTCGCTCTCCTTTTGTTTCTCGTTCCCGCCCTCCACACCGGATGTGACGCTCTACACCTTAGTCACGTCGTTAAGGTTGGAAATTTGCCTACTCTTTGGCCCCTCCTCGAGCGTCCGCCGAGGGGCCTCTCCAGTCTGGCCCCGCCCCTCCGTGTTTAGCCTGGCTGTGCTTGCGAAAGCTTACTGAAAACTACCAGCAATCTGTTTTAGTACTAGGACTGTTCGTTCTGTGGCGTCCTAGGAAAATTTGTCCACTTTTACCCCAGAATTGCTGAGTGACATTACACCTCATCTGCCTTCCCATTCTCACCCTAAGTTTCTTGTTGGGGCTCATGCTTTATTTATGTACGACTTCAACAGAAATAGTTGAGTCCTGGGGCACCTGGGTGGCTCAGTTGGTTGAGCATCCAACTTTGGCTCGGGTCATGATCTCACTTGGAGGGTTGGAGCTGCGGGACCGGCTCTGCTGGCAGTGCGGAGCCTGCTTAGGAGTCCCTCTCTTTCCCTCTTTCTCTGCCCCTCCCCCACTCGTGGGGGGGGGTGTGGGCGTGAGTGTGTGGGCGTGTATGTGTTTGCGTGCACTCTCTCTCTCAAAATACATAAACTTAAAAAAATAGTTGAGTCCATACTATATTCCAGACTCTGCTAGAAGCTGGGGAAAATCTAGGAACATGGTCCCTGCCCCCAGTAGACCTCACACTCCAGTGGAGAAGCCAGACTCTGCAGACCCGCAGGGGACTCACAGGTTTCTTAAGATCGCCCGTCCAGTTCCAGTTCTGCATTTGAAATCATGTATGGGTTTGAATGGGTTTGAGTGACTAGTCAGCTTCAGGCACTGCTTTTGGGGAATTCAGCTGCCCTCTCCAGGCCTGGGCTAAATACATTAGTGGTCAGCCTCGTCATCTCTCCCACTCCTTCCCTGATGCTTCTGTTCCAGTAACCTCTGACTCAGCCTCCGCTTCAGAGATCATGCCTTCTGACAACGGCAGTCCTTCAAACCCAACCCCCATTAAGCTCCATCACCCACCAGCCTCTTCTAGAGCTAGCATTCATCCACAGTTATACTCCTGACCACACCAGATGTGTGAAGTTTAACAAGTCGTTTTCCCCACCTGGATTTAGTTTTGTCTTCAACCAGCTTCGGAAACTATGCAGCCTTCCTCCTATCCTGGACTGATGTGAGGATTTGACGAGACTACATGTTTAAGTCGTAGTGTACTGTGTACGTTAACATGATTATGTTTCCAAGCAGCTCTAGTTGTTACAAAGTTTTCATTAAAGAGTAAATTTTGCCTCTTGGAACTGTCCACCTTTTTCATCCATTCACTCAAATACCTACTGAGTGCCTTACTGTATTCCTGTCACTAGTCTAAATAGTGGGTATATAATAGTGAACAAAACAGACCCCCCCCCACATCTCTTCATGCAGCTTCCATTCTAATGGGAGAGATAAACAACAAAGAAGTTAAATAAAATATATAGTTTTAAGATAGCAGTAAATGCCTAGGAGAAAAATCAGAGAAGCGGGGAGGGAAGTTTTTTTAATTTTAGGTAGGGAGGCCAAGGAAGACCTTATTAGGAAGATGACTTTTGAATAAAGGTCTGAAGAAAAAGAAGGGGGAGGGCATTGATATGATGTTTAGGAAAGAACATTTCAGAGAGACCAAGTACAAAGGGTGGAGAATTGCTGGAGCATAGTGTACTATGGTGAGAGCAGGAGATGAGGCCAGAGAAGTAGCAGGAGCCAGATAGTACAGCCTTGCAAGTCACAGTAACGATTTTAGCTTTTACTCCATCTTGAGAATCCTGTGAAGGGTTTTGAGCAGAAGATCCACATGATCTGATTTACATTTTAACAGAGTTACTCTGGCTGTTCTATGAAGAATAGATTTAGGAGGGAGAGTGGTAGATGCAGGGAGACCAATTGGGAGCCAATTATAATAATCCAGAGGTGGGGGATGAGAAGTGGTTGAAATATGAATATATTTAGAGGGTAGGGACAAGAGAGCTTGCTGAGAGATCAGATGTAGAATATCAGAGGCAGAAAGGAGCCAAGATGTTTGGACTAAACAACTGGAAGACCAGTGTTGCCATTTCTTGAGATGCGAAAGACAAAGGAGGTGCTGTTTTGGGGAGGCAACTATCTGGAGTTCATTTTTGGGTGTGTGGAGTTTGAAATGCCCATTAGTGTACAGATGGTGAGAGGGCAGGAGGAGGAAGGGACAGGAGGTCTGAGGGTCAGGGGAGACATCTAGACTGGATATATCAATTTGGGAGTTAACAGCACACAGATGGCATTTAAAGCCATGAGACTAAATAAGATCATCAAAGGAGTGACTGTAGATGGAAAATACTTTCCTTCAACATTCAGGATTTGAGGAAACTAGGAGAAGCCACAAACCAGACTGAGAAAGAGGGCCAAAATAAGAGGAAGAAGAAGAAGAAGAAGAAGAAGAAGAAGAAGAAAGGCAGGCAAGCTGGGAGATATCCTGTAAGTCAAGTAAAGAAGGGGTATCAGGAAGGAGGTCATGCTCCACCTTTAGAAATAAGCCCATCAACCCAACCAAAGGAGGGATGCAGAGACTCAGAGCACAGTGAAACGAGGTGTTTTTTTTTTTT